TAAAAGTTTCGGCGTTTGGCTGAAGTCTATACGAGGAATTGCTTTGCTTTCAGAGCTGCTGCCCTGCTGTTAACCAGCCGTGGCTGCGTGGCAGTCAGCCGCTCACCTGTGTATACTCCCTCCGCACTGAGTTGCCATTCATATCCATACACGCGCTCAGGAAGTCGGAAAGAACTCGACCCCTAACTGCCTGTCACCTGGGTGATGGAGTGGAAGAAGTCGAGGCCTGCGGAACGTTCCTGCCGCTTTTGCTTTTACGAGGCCTCACAAATTCAAGTGCTTTTCCCCCTGGCATCACCTTGCTTCCCCCCATCTGTATGCATAGCTATTATGCAGCTTCTGAGCTCGATGTTGGATGTTGGATGCTTACTGGTTGCGTCACAATGCCCCCCCACCTCCTCCCCGCAGTCATTATGTAGGATCGATGATGGCAAGCCATCTCTGTTGAGATGTGAGCCGACTCCCAGGTGTGTAGGAGATGGCACTGACTCGTTTTCTCCTTTTATCCGAGCCTCGTGTGCTGAAGTGCCCTCGTATGGCTCTCCTGATGAGAGCGCTTGTGTCTCTTTCGTGGTCCTATTGCGTTTTAAGCTTTTCCCTTAAAGTCTTCACATTCTGTGCGACAAAATGGCAAATTACCCCATGTAGTCAGGGGGCCGTGGCGATTATCGGGCTGAGCTAACGATGCGTGCTGAAGGTGCAATTTGCCTGTTGAAAGCCATTGTGAACTCCTGGAGCAGTTAAAGACTCCACTAATAGACCGTCCTTAAATAGTCGGTGAGCGCCAGCTTCGGGGCACTTGACGTTTGCTTAAAGTTTTTCCAAGCGCCACCTTCCCCCAACCTCTTTCTCTGGACGTGATCTAAACCTCGATATAGCCTGAAAACATGCTGCCCCAATTTGACCACAGCAAGTTTTTTCATACAGAGCCTGACCTTGGGAGCACTGACTGCCTTCATTAGATCATCGAAAAGCAGAACAAACTGTGTAATTATCAGCTGGCCAGAACAAATGCTAAATCTCAGTTGGCCTTTTACAATTATTGCATAATCACCTAATCGCAATTACTTGAGATGATCGCAATTAACGTTTTCCAGTTTTACAGTAATGTTAAGCTGCAGCAAACAAAATGTGATTTGAGTTTGCATGACTAAAGTATATAAATGCAAATGAAAGAAGGCAGTAAATGCATTCGTTAAGACGCACCAAGGGGCTCATGAATATGAAAATAGTTAAAACTTGGTGCTCGAACATGTTTAGAGGGCAGTGCGGAGTAATGCTTGCTTTGGTTAGCTATGTATGCTAGCAGAGTGAACTGTTTCCCTTATATTTTCACTTCAAGAAAAAGTAGAAGCTTTGCTTGACCACACCTTGCTTGACCACACAGTACTACCAGTGTTACCTATGTCATAAACATGGCAAGGAAGATTATAGCCAGTGAGCCAATTTGGCCACTTTTGGCTTTTACTGTGAACAATGTGTAGGGTGAACAAGAAAAGGCAGTTAAATTGTAAATCACAATTGTTTATAACATTCGTCTGCGAAAATTTAATGATCATGACATCCTTAAATCTCACTTTAACAAGTGTCCATTTTCCCATGCTATCAAACAAAGCCTGCCACACTCACCCTCCAGATGATATTGGACCAGCATAACTAGAACCATTCAATTTTAATCATTGTTCACCTGCCTAAAACTACGCATTGTTACTAACATATCATCTAAGAGTAGTCAGTGTTTTTCATAGGTCTGTTTCTCATTTGTGACACATTGATAGGCTTCTAACAGTAATCATTGGTTATTCTTCGTTAATCTAAATATTTCTGTCCATTTCTTTGTTCCATATTCACTGTTGTATATTCATTGTCCATTGTTTATTCATATCGCTCTTGTTGTGTTTTTGTTTTGATATCCAGTGTTGACTTACAGAGGAGGTTCCCCTTCTGAGATTGGGTTCCTCTCATGAATTCTTCCTCTTGGAGTTTTCCTTGCCTCTGGCTTGCTCACTTGGGGCTCGGACCCAGATTTCTCTAAAGCTGTATGTTGTAAAAAGCACTTTATAAATCTTGAATTGAATTGAAACAACATCCCAAAGGTTTTTAGCCTTAATAAAACTCTGCATAGGATAATGTGCTGTTTTTATGCTGGGCTTGTGGACCGCGCTCCTAACAGCACGAGGGACTCCAGCGTGCTTTATTTGAAACTGTTAAAGTAATGAAATTAGGGGAGAGAATAAACCAAGAAGAAACGGGCCTAAATGTTGGGAGATTATGGCCGACTTCACACATGGCATTGACCTTCATCTTCAGAGATCCGATCATAAGTGGACAAAGCTAAGTACAGACGTGAACAAGATCCAGTGTATCTCGGAGGGGTATTGTAAGCCAGTCATGCAAACTACCTTTGGAGGTGGTCAGGGAACACACATGACCACACAGCATTTGTATTGTGAATGCTAACACATCTCATTGTGTCGAAGGACTGTCTAATCAGATGCGTCCCCACAGTATAAAAACGGCTCTATAGCTTCTTTCTTCACCTCCTCTACCATTTGTTTTATAAGCTGTGTTAGTGACCCATGTGATCTGGATGTTTTTAACTGCCCATGAATAAACACAAACTCGTGGTACATTTTCTCTGACAGCAAACACACGGAGACTGACGTAGTAAACGTGCACGGCATCCTTAATCCAGTCACGAAACCTGTTTGCACTGGGACACTAGAGACGCATTTGAGACGCGAAAGCCCTTTTAACTGAGGACATTATTGGGATACTTTAACAAGTAATGCTCAGGCTTTGCATCATTCCCAATAAACGGGTCGTGTCTTCACCATGAATGGCCAACAACCTCTTCATGAACAAAAAATCTGATGTTGTTCTTTCAGTGTAAAACTGAATGTGTTGCTTTTCTGACCATGACACATTGCATTTGTGCAATAGTGGCCATGCATGCAGGCATGCTGTAATAGGAGTGGGGAACTGTTGCAACAAAGTAGGAAGCATACAGTTGTCTAAAAAGTCTCTGTATGTTGTAGCACTACCATTACCCTTCACTGGAACTAAGGGGCCTAAACCCAGAAAACAGCCCCAGCTCATTATCCCTCCTCCACCAAACCTTACTGTTGACACTATGCATTCTGATAGGTAGCGTTTTTCTAGCATCCGCCAAACCCAGATTCATCTATATGGGTGCCAAATAGTGAAGCATGATTAATCACTCTAGTGAACGCATTTCCACTGCTCCAGAGTCCAGTGGCGTGGTACTTTACACCATTGTAGCCGACACTTGGCATTGCACATAGTGATGTTAGGCTTGATTGCAGCTGCTTGGCCATAGAAACCCATTTCCTGAAGCTCCTGACACACAGTTCTTGTGCTGATGTTTCTTCCAGAGGCAGTTTGGAACTCTGTAGTGAGAGCTTTTTTATGCTCGGCAGCCCTGCTGTGTGATATGCATGGTTTACCACAGGGGTGGGGAACTGAGGGCCGGAGTCCAACACAGTTTGGAGATTTCCCTGGTCTAGAACACCAGCTAAATCTGGTAATTAGGTGATGAGTTGAATGAGGTATGCTTGAGCAGGTAAATCGCCAAACTGTGCCGGAATCCATCCCTCCAGGACTGAAGCTCCCCAGCCCTGTACAGCATACACTTTACATTTCTTACTTACAAAACTCAGCGGTAAAAACACGCATTGCAGAAATGTTACACTTTGTCAGTAATAATGTAGACGTCTCTGTTTTTCCTGGTGCAGTGCTGGCTTTTGTTCATAGAATGTAACGAGTTATGTCCCAGGAATTGTACTAGGTCACACAACGCTTTCTGATCTAATTACTAGTATATCGTACTACCATTTAAATGATGTAGTAGCGCATGTGTGAAAGGGGCTGTAGAAGTGGCAGGTGTAAACGTCCATATCCATTTAGGACCACTCGAGACCGGTGTTTGTATGCAGTATGAGCAGTGCTTATGAGAAACCTGCCTGGGAGATTTAAACCCAGCTAAGGCCTGACAAATATTTGACAAAAGTTTGAACCCGATCAAACCCTTACATGAACAGTCGGGTTCCGTCAGGTTTGGGCAGGTATTCCGAGCTCTCGGAACTGCCTTTTTTTTTCGGCCTGCGGTTCCGCTCTCTCGCGTGTCAGTCAGACCGCGTGACGGACTCACGCACTCATTAAGGCCCCATCTGCAGCCTGGCTCTGGCAGCGCACAGATGGGTACTAGTCACCATTACCGATCTGTACTCCCTGCATGCGCGTGTGTGTGTGTGTGTCACACCCTGGAGAACATGCAGTTCCACACATCCCATTAGCGGTTCCATAAGCTTAACTGCTGACCGGCGATGGGGCGTTTGCATGTGTCAGTTATGAGGCTTTCACTGAGACTAACTCTCGCCAATTTGCTAACTCTGATCCAAGTCTTCCATCATGTAGGGGCAGGAGGTCATGTCTCCAGGTATGGATCAATAATTAATTTGGGTGTTGGGTTTTTTTTTTTTTTTGGGAAGGATCAATAACACCCCGAGCGCTGCCTTGGGACTGAGGCTGCGTCTGGCTGTGCCTCGTCAGCAGCTTGTACGAGACCTGTTTAATCTGGCTACCGTGCCGAAGCTCTCGTGTTCTCTCTCTCTTTTTCTTTATTTCTTTTTTTGCTGGAGGGCTGTGGTCTTAGCTGCCGGAGCCTTTCTTTTTAGCTACTGACACCGGGAGCACATTCCGTATACAGCGTCGAACGTGCTCAAAATTCATGGGCCTTCAGAAAGGGATTTGACCTTGTAGTCGAGTTTTTAACATTGGCTGTTTTCATGGCGTTCCTTCTTTTAGATTGCTCTCCATGTTCACCACCCACCCCCCTCCCTTTATAGGTCTTGGCTTTCTTTTAAGTAGCTGCCTTTGACAGGGTAGAGTGGTGCTGAAAGCACCCAGTGGGAAACGTGCCGTTTTATCCCTCGCTTTCTCACTCACACCCCCCTCCTCTCTTTCCTTTTCCTTCACAGGGCTCTACTACGTCGACTCCGAAGGCAACCGTGTGTGTGGTGACATGTTCGCCGTGGGCTCCGGCTCCATGTACGCCTACGGTGTCCTCGACAGTGGCCTCCGCCCCGATCTGACCGTCGAGGAGGCCTGTGACCTCGGCCGCCGTGCCATCTACCAGGCCACGTTCCGCGATGCCTACAGCGGTGGCCAAGTCAACCTGTACCACGTCCACAGTGAGGGCTGGGAACGGGTCTCCCAGGAGGATGTGCTGCAGCTCCACCATCAATACCAGAGCCAGAAGGCATAGAGGAGATGGAGGCTGGGACGGGTGGGAGGTGAGGGATGGGTCTAGGGCAATGGTTTCCAATCCTGGGGATGGAGTAACCCTGATGTTGTCATTAAAATCTTTCATTTTTTTTTTTTTTAAACCACCATTTAAAAATGCTAGCAGCCCTGTGAATATAGGCCAATGGTACACAATCACTTAGGATATAATCCCCTTTCATGTACAATGCATGATGTGGCTGGTACTCCAGTGGTAGGAGAAGTGAACCAGAAACTGGAAGATTGTAGGTTCAAATCCCAGGACTGACTGGGTATACCTGGTTGTGCCCTTGGGCAAGACGCTTAACCCCAAACTTCTTTGCTTCTTCTGTAAAGCTACCATTTTGGGGAGATGTTTTGTTAAAACTGTGACAATATTTTGCAAAATCACTGATATTTTAGAACATAATTTTTAGAAATATTTCACAAAGCAATATTTCTCCCTTTAGCAAGATAACCCTAAATTCAAGCCTGTCAGATAGGAAGAGCGCTGAGAGACATTTCTGTTGGGCAGTCCTCAACTTTTTATAAGTTACCTGGCTTACTTGGACGTCCTTTGTGAAACAGAGGATACGGGGTATAAAACCAGGTATCTCAGTTTTGGATAACTTAAGCCAGAGTTGAGATTGTCCAGTAGAGAAACGGAGAAGCCCAGCTTTGGGAAATAAGTGTGATTCCGCTATTCAGTAAGCCCTTCCTGAGCTAAAATGTCTGTGTGTAGCAAAAACACTGTGCAGGGCAGGGTTACACCAAGATCAGGATAGGTAACCATGGGCCTAGAGAGTTGGGAAGGTTGGATGGGGGTATAATAAAAGGATAAAATAAGCAAGCAAGACATGGGCAATGAATAAGAATGCCAGTTGATGGAAATTTAGCACAGTCACTAATGGCTCCGAGACTCTTGCAAGTTAGAAATGATTCCAACACGATGTGCTTGAGGCGCTTTCTGTTCCTGAATGAAGTTACACTAACATTTATCACAATTTCCGTTATTTCTTTCATGTAATTTGTTTAGTTATTACCTCGATAACTGTAGTATTACGTTTTCAGGTGTCGGGCTGCAGTTCCTCGTGTTGTGTGATAGGTGTGGGGGTGCTATATCCCACTGGATGACACGTCGAGCCAAACTTCTCTTGGCCGGCTCCCTGGGAGTGCGAGTGGGCTTCTGTTCTTCTTATCACACTTGTAACCACAGTTACCAAACCCACTCTCAATAAACCTTGGACTTTTTTTTTTGCTATTTATGTCTTCTGTGTGTTCTTTTGATGAACCGCCTTCCTCTCCGGTACATATGCATGCACATGCATACACATGATACAGCAGTGTGTTCCAGGCTACATGATTCCTTATGCATAAAGGAGGTGTTTTATCCATTTGTTTCATTCCAGTCTTTGCTCCTCGTTCCTTTGCCATCCGTCTTTGTAAGCTGAGAGACGCTGCAAGCAAATTTACAGTTTCTCCTGAGACTGTGCACTGAGTCACACTGCCTCCTGTGTATCTGTATATGCTTACCAATACAGATGAGAGACCTTGTGGGTGAATCCATGACCGGGGAGAAATTTTGTCTTTGTAATTCTTTAGAATTAAACTTTTAAAGCATTCTCCAACAAGATTTAGTCAGCATCCATACTAACTTTAGGAGGATATTAAAGGGAAATTTCCCTGATTTCTCAAAAATTCAACATAATTAAGTGTTAGAGGTGTAAACACAGTCATTCGGAGTGGTTTGATGTAAAACGCTCTGTTCTAGAGAAACTTGTCAAGTCAGAATAGCTCACAGTGGTGGTGATAGGAACCAGACATCCAGACAAGAGTTTAATCCCTCTGAAAGCTCCCTCACAGAAAGTTATTGTATGAAATGGTTAGATATACGCTGCCTGATGTCTGACACACTGTTTTAATCTATTTGTGGTGGAGATATACATGCAGGGTGTTGTGAGGTAAAATAGTTCCCAAAGAAAAATGAGCTTTTCAGATTTATGACCATTTTACCATCAACATTACACACAGGAACTCAGAAGACACTTGTGATTTTAGATGGTAGCCTAAATAAAATGGCTATTTTTGTGTTGTAGACGTCTTGACACCTGGTTCCTATTAGCACCACTCTAAAGAAACCAGAGTCTACAACTTAACAGTGAACTGATGGACGGAATTGTTCCAAAATTTTGAAAAAATTGGTGGAATTTGCCTTAAAGGACATTCCAAAGGAATACTTAAATTGAATTTTAAATCTTTTAAAATGAATGATGTACTCACAGTATCCTGTAGGTAACAGGGTTGCCTTTTTATAACAGAATTGGCAAATGCACAAAAACGTGGTTAACTAGCATTCATGCTAACACTGAGGACATTAAGGACATTCTGAAGATTTACGTAAAAAGGTGGGTTTTTAAAGTAATAATTGGCTTTCGAAGTATGTTTGATGTATGTTTGGTTAAGACGGTTTACTTTTTTTATAGTGTAGAAACGGCAAATATGCAAAATGTGGTTAACTAGCATCCATACCACCAGGTGGAGGACACTAAGGATCTTCCTAAGTTTTACTTTAAAGGTTGTTTCTTACATGAATAATATACTTTGAGTGTATATTTTGGGTTATGGTTGATTTTTGTTATAGCATAGAGGTAGCAAATAACAAAATGTGGTTATCCAGCATCCATGCTAATGCTATGAGAACATTAAGGACACTAATAAATGACTTAAAATGATTTTTTATGAGCAATTTCCTCTCAGTCTATAATTTGGGAAACAGGGTTGTACTTTCAAAGTGTCTTCGTCAATTTAATGTCATCACAAAAAAATGACAACTTTTTCTTTCTGTGAACTTGAATGATGCAACTTCCTGTTAAACTTGTGGAACATTCCAGGTATTTCAGAGGTGATTCTGGGCAGACACAACTAAAATGTACATACCTATAATGTATGACTTATGGAAAGGGATGTTTCAATCATGAAAAGTTAATGAGTTCATACATTAACGCAAAACATATTTTGAGGTACATTAATTATTTTTCAAGGTAATGTGTAGTTTTAGAGGGGACAGGCAACAATGTCATTCTATGAGATCAGTGCTGAATGGACATGCTAAATTGATTTTTTTTTCCAAGTCTTCTATAGTTTCAAATATATATTGCTCTTACCTAAAGACCTTTTCCAAAAAATAGGAAAATGAAGATAATTGTTTCCCCATCACAGTGATGATGTTTGACGTCACTGACTGTTGTTTTGGGTTTATCTTCACAGCTCTCACAATGTTTCTGTCATCAACTGCTGTTGTTGTCCTCAGCCGACCTGTTCATTGTCTGGTTGTTAGTGCACCGGTGGTTTCATTCTATTTCAGGACATTCCAAATTGTTGTATCGGCCATGTCCAGTGTCTGTGCAGTGCCTTTGATCAATTTTCCCCTTTCGTCTCAGGTTGAAAATAGCTTGCTTTTTCCCCATGGATAACCCATAGATGTTTCCCATAGATGTTGATTTATTCTTTTCAACAACAAATGCAGTCTTTACATATGAAAAGCAGGGCACAATCTAACAGGGCACACCTGGGCAGCAAGGAAACACCTGTCAGTCATGTTCCAGTATTTTTGCTCAGTTGAAAGATGGGTGGGTTCAGACAAAAAGTGCTATTTTTTTAGTTGTTTAACACATCTAGATATAAATATCAGGAAATAAAAGCTGAAATTCTTATCGTCTCTCATTCATCTTTTCATCCCAAACCCAAATCCAATAAGTATGAAAACCACTGATTACAAGATTTTGCAAGGCTTTGAATTTTGGCACTTATACTGTTACACAAATACTGTTTTTAAATGCTGTCTACGCTTTTTTTTTTTTACTTTTCCGTAAATGTTTTATCTTCACACACACGTAAACGTAGGCTAATATCAGTGGGACATATATATATGCACCCAAACTGCGGAACCACCCTTACTCAGCTTTCTTATTGCCCCCGCCCTTAGTATAGTTACTTGCTGGACTAAAACGGGCAACATTCTCATAGGCTGAATGTAAACTGCATCAGCCATTTGTGTTTCATGTAATGTACAGACTTCCCCGAAGTCACTGGGACTTTGGCCCACGGCTGCCTTTACCTTTCATTGTTGGGAGAATTTATTTTTTTAATCTCATTTCGTCACACCTCTTCGACACCGAGGTTATGCACAGCTCTGTCACTGTTTTATAGCGTAACGACCCGTTTGGTCTGCCCGTGTCCCCTCAGCGGTTTTACAGCAGAGAAATAAACACTAATAAAGGCAGTGGGGAAACGTCTCGGTCCAAACCTAGTTTCACAGGTGGCTAGTTAGCAGATGGAAAACAAATGGGATTTCAATAAATGTAAATGAGCAGCCCTTTTTCCCCCCATTGTGCTGCTTCAAGTAAATGAAGAGAAGAGAACTGCTCGTCCATAACAAGGCTGAAAATCAAATATGCTAATGAGTGTGTTTTCTTAGGATTAAAGTATTAGCAAAACATCTGCAATGTCTAGCAAGTATCAGAATATAGTGCTTCGTTAAAAATGATGATGATTTTTGTGTGCCTGTTTACCCTTATTGTTAAAGCTCCATGAAATGAGGTCTGAAAGGGTACAGGGACTTCATTGTTTAACGCTAAGCTACCTAAGTGGCTAATGTCCTAGCATAGTTCTTGAGGAGAACTTATGCTGATTTAAACAGCTGATGCCTTACTTCACGAAAATATTACCCTGTGAGGTGTAGATGTGATCCACTATGAAGTTAAAGGCCTATTCCAGCCTAAAACTAGAGTTTAATATTCTGTTTGCTGTGTTATGTAGCATTTAGTGCAGCGTTATGTACCTCAGCCTGTCAGAATTCATGAGTTTAAATCATTTTCATTTTTTTGTTCATTGTATTCTTTCACCACAATACCACCATGTATTAAAGAGATGTCACACAACCATTGGGAATCCATGCAATGTCAACAAAACCTGACTGCTAGCCACTTATCTACAGGCTAACAGGTACAACCAAGCTAGCATTAGCATACAGCTTTTACCTCAGTCGTCAAACAAAATTGTAAAGAAAAATGGATGCCAGAGACCCCCTCCCCCCCTTTCAGCCAGAGAAAGGTTCTTATCTTCTAAGTCAAACTGAGGTAAAGTATCTAGCTAGATAAGCAGAATACTTTGCTAAATGTAGCTTTTAGCTTGTTGTCTTCTCTACCTGATGAGGCATTTCTGTTGTTAAAGTAATCCATTCTCTCCATTGTAATGGTGATTTGAAGATAGATACTACATTATACATCTGCAATTAGATATTCAACCTCCGAGCAGTAATGCTAGCTAGCTGGCTTTTAACTCTGTATTCATCAGCTAATGCCTTCAAAAATGCACCCTGAAGCAGTTGGAGTTTTTCAAAAATTCCTCCCACTTTCAAGATACATCATCAGAAGGGAGTTTTCCTAATCTTTCAAACAGAAAATCCCACTCTGGGGTCTACTGCGGCAGTAATTATTGCTAAATCATATTTACAATAGATGTAGCCATGGTAAAGCTATAACTACTTTGTTTAGGGTGGCCTAGTCCTAATAACCTTTTCCTCAAGATGTTCCTTTTTGTGCGGTTACCTCAGACTTTATAGTGCTGAAGGGATGCGATGATGAATTTTAAGTAAAATTTAAAATAACCAAACCAAAACTCTGTCAGTGAAACCAAACTTTTACTTGATAAATAGCATAAAACAGGTAACATTCCTTTAAATAGGTTGACTAATCATAGTATTTCCTACCACCATCTCATAATAAAAAAGGTCTGACAGGTTGCCTAGACTTAAGATGATTTAACTTGTTTTTTTTGGACACCTTGCCACTATGTATTGCTTTGGTGGCCTTCTGCCCTTGGTGGGCCCAAATTTCAAAGGGCCCGTATCTTACAATTTATGGTTTTTCTTGAGGTTCATTTATAATGTTTGTAAGGGTGATGGGTAATGAGCAGGGCTAAACTGTTATAGGCTGAATAGGCAGATATATAATATTAAAAAAACGAAAAAATATTTAAATCACGCTTCTCTATCTGGCAGTCTGATGGATAAGTCTGGGTTTGGTGAATGGCAGGAGAACGTTACCTGCCTGACTGCATTGTGCCAGCTCTAAAGTTTGGTGGAGGAGGGATAATACTATGGGGTTATTTTTAGGGGTTGGCCTAGACCCTTAGTTCCAGTGAAGGGAATCTCAATGCTTGAGCAGACCAAGACATTTTGGACAATCCTGTGCTTCCAAC